GCCACTATCTCTGCCTTACTATGTTTAGACCACTTCACCTGAGTTTTTCCAACAGCCCCCACCTCACCCACACACCTGCTATCTATAGCCCGGCTACGGATGGCCACTGCAGATACACACACTACACTATTTGGACGGCTTGCCAGACACCTGGATATGCGTCGGCATTTTTTGCGTTCCCGTGTCAATTTCTTTCATCTCATCTAGTCATCTAGACTTTGGCGGTTTTTAAACTTTTACGTGGCGGTTGCTAACAAGTAGCTCAATGAGACAACGATAGATGTGGCTGGCGGAGGCATCGGGTGCTTTCTGAAAAGGAGAGAGAGAGGAACGCCGAGTCAGAGATGTCGGGAGCAGAAGAGACGGATCAGTAGAGATCTGGAAATGCTCTGCATGTGTCGGCCATGACAGCAGGGCGGACTCTGAGTCCACTCCTGACTGAAAATCTCGGCCTTCAAGGAGGCCCACCCAACCCTGACCCCCTCGCACAGCGGCCCTCCACTCTGCCACCGAGAGCAACGGCTCTTGACCCTTTGGGCCCCGTCTCTGCATCCCGCCACGCTACCACAGCCGCCCCCCCCCCCGCCATCATCACTGCGAGGCTGGGGAAACTCCCCCTGCCCGTCTCCTCTGCGTGTGTTGATATTACCGGTGGACTGTTTGGTTGCGTTTGTCAGAATGTGATGACAGAACTAAACGCTGGTATTTACCCTGCGATAACTGCCTTGTCTGGACAGACTCTGTGAGGATACTCTGTGTGTGTGTGTGTGTGTGTGTGTGTGTGTGTGTGTGTGTGTGTGAGCACTGTGAAAACCCTATCTGCCTGCATTCTAGAGCTTTCACTGCATGTTGCAGACATGCGACATGATCAGTGCGCGGTCTTATGACTACCTGCCGCAAAGTCCCGTGTTGCTGTGTGGGGGGTCTTACGACATCATGGTGGGCAGGGGTTTCCTGCACACCCTTTGTCAAGATAAAAGCTACAGCTGCGGCGTGCAAAACGGAGACTAGGGTCCTAAACACCATCACTCTAGAGGTCTTCTTACCCATTTTGGCACCCAGAGTGGCTTCTTATAGACATGCATCTAGACTGTGA